GCTTCACAATCTATGACATGCATCAGGACTTGAACAGGACACTTGATAAGATGTAACAATGCAAAGTTCTGCTTTCACATGTGATACCGCATCAGGAATCTTTGCCTTTCACTTGTCACGCATGCTTAACAATCAATGACACGCATCAGGACTTGAACAAGACACTTGATAAGACGTGACAATGCAAAGTTCTGCTTTCACATGTGATACCGCATCAGGAATCGCTGCCTTTCACTTGTCACGCATGCTTCACAATCAATGACATGCATCAGGACTTGAACATGACACTTGATAAGACGTGACAATGCAAAGTTCTGCTTTCACATGTGATACTGCATCAGGAATATCTGCCTTTCACTTGTCACACATGCTTCACAATCAATGACATGCATCAGGACTTGAACAGGACATTTGATAAGACGTGACAATGCAAAGTTCTGCTTTCAGATGTGATACTGCATCAGGAATCTCTGCCTTTCACTTGTCATGCATGCTTCACAATCAATGACATGCATCAGGACTTGAACAAGACACTTGATAAGATGTGACAATGCAAAGTTCTGCTTTTACATGTGATACCGCATCAGGAATCTCTGCCTTTCACTTGTCACGCATGCTTCACAATCAATGACACGCATCAGGACTTGAACAGGACACTTGATAAGACGTGACAATGCAAAGTTCTGCTTTCACATGTGATACCGCATCAGGAATCTCTGCCTTTCACTTGTCACGCATGCTTCACAATCAATGATACGCAACAAGAATATTTTCCTTTCACTTGTCACGCATGCTTCACAATCAATGACACTTGTCTAACATGCATTTACAGCACACTCTCTCGTGGACTATAAATATAGGGTCTTTTCCCAGCAAACTCTGCTCACACTCTCTAAGTCTCAAACACTCAAACTCTCAAACCCTCAAAATCTCTAAGTCTCAAACTCCCGATTTCTCTAAACTGAAAAAAAACTCTCAAACCCCAAACTCTCTAAGTCTCAAACTCTCAAACTCCCGATTTCTGAGATGTGTTTTAGAAGCTAATTTATATGTGTTTATTTTTTTAGATGGTCTGTTCCAGGGATGAATTATCAGAGATGTCCCAGGTACTCTATAATTCAATACCGCAACCTCATCGACCACCTTGGGCCAGATGATGTAAGTTATTTACCATTAATTTTTTTAATGTATATGCATAAACCTTTCAAACTCTGTCTTACTTATTTGTCCAACTTTATTGTAGTTTGTCTGGATGTCGTACGAGGGTCTCGACCACCAGCCCAACCCCGACGATGCCGCTGTGTGGACATCAAGGACACCCATAATTCGGTTCACTACGGTGGAGATGCACCAAAGTGACCGAGTGAAACTACAATTTGAGATGCATCGGGATATTCCATATGCTCCGGTGGACTTGGGGCAATGGCATCAAAAGCGGGTGAACGCACAGTGGAGTGTCAGTGATTGGAAGGAGTTTGCGAAGGAGTTGCGTATACACTGGAAAAGAAGAAGGCAATACATCTTAACCGGCCGAATTGTGCACGGGGCTAGGCCAAGTCTACAATATATGACTTGGTTTAGGTCTGTCACGACATCTCAGCCTTTCCTGTCCCAGCCAACCTATTTGGCCGACCCAAGGGAACGCGATTCTTCGTCAAACCCACAGCAACAGTTCAGTGCCCAAAACCAACCTTACGAAAACCCATACATGTCAACAAATACCCCATATCAACAACGATAACCTTACATGCCACCCACCCAATCCCAGCCTCAACCACCTTACCATTACAACCCTGATACGTCTTTTGAGTCTACCCGTTCCACCTATAGCCCAAACAACTCATTTGACCCTACCCCCTCCAACTATACCTCCAACCATCCACTATTTGACTACCACACCCCACAACAACCAACACACCTAGACCAACCCAATTCCATGTACACATTCGGACAACCATACCGTCCATACTCCACCCAACCTCCCCGACAATCCTTCGAAAACATGGGCTTGGGCTTGACTACGGTAGCGCCATTGACAGTGGACCTCCCGGCTATTGGGGTCAAATGATGCAAAATCCATCTGATACGTCGGGGCCGTCCCAACAACATCCTCCTCCACAACTCAACACACAATGGCCCGACACACCACAACAACCTCGTCGTAGACCTCGTCGCAACGCGCATCCTCCACTGTGTGGCACCGGTGGTCGCTTAGATAGAGCCAGCCATTAGTTTTCTTTTTGTTTTTGTAATTTTCATTATATTAATATTTTTGTTGTTGTAATTTTAATTATATTATAAATTAATATATTTTAATATTTTATTTAAACCTAAATATTTTATGTTTACTAATAATAATTATGTTTAAAAACAAAATAATATTTAAAAGTTCCAAACATTAATGATATCAAATACATTAAAACATTAATTGGAATTAATAAAATAATCAAAATACAGCAAAAACTAAAAAAAATTGAAAAGCGAAACCCTAACCCTGCAAGCCTAATTCGCCAATTCATTTGGCGATTTTGCACAAAATACACTAATTTCATCTGGCGAATGGTAGTTGATTTCGTAAATTTTTTGAAAACTCCATTTATATGGTAAATAGTATACAATACTTAGCTAGTTTAAATAAAAAATCTAATTAAAATATTTTTTAAATTCTTTATAAATTTAATAATAAACTTAATGTTTATTAATATTTATTTAAAAAGAATAAACTTAAATAATATTTATTAAAAGTTACAATTAAACTAAAAACATAATCAAAATTAAAAAATAAAGAAAAAATAGGAAACCTTAGAAGTGAACTATTTCGCCAATTAGAAGGGCGAATTGCTTTCGGCCCAACTTGATTTAGCCTCATTCGCCAATTGGTTTGGCGAGTTAGTACAAAGCCAATTTTGCCAATTACGCCATTTCATTTGGGGACTGACAGTTAAAAGGTTGTTGTTTTGATAAATTTTTTGAAAATCTCATTTAATTGGTATTATTTTTGAAATACTTAGTTAGTTTAAAAAAAATTCAACATTTTACAATACTTAATAAAAATATTTAAACATATTTAAAATTCAATAAAAAAATAAATATTAATTTACAATAGCTGATTACACGGGTAATCTAACTCCTTTTTAATTTGGAGTGTGATCTCAATGGAAATCAAGAGAGGAAATATTAAATAGTTTTAAGACTTTTTTAAAGGGTGAGTACAAGGTGTAAATACTGTAAGTTGAACAAATATTAAAAACTTGGTTATATTAAAATTTTAATGTGCTCTCTTTTACTTCATCTTTAAATATTTTGCTCAAAATCTTTTTTACTAATGCTTTATATATATATATATATATATATATATATATATATATATATATATATATATAAAATTCATCACCACTTGTATTTAGAATCACCTATTCAACATTATCTCACAAAATTATTCATTACCAAGATCATCTTTACCAAAGTTGTTGGAGACATAAGTCAAAGAATTATCTTCTACGAAGTAGCATGAATGGACGCTCTTGAGTCTATTACCCAAGACTTTATTCTTATTCAAAATAACAAATTAAAGCATATTCTTATGGGGTGGAAGCAACATTTTCCTTGTCCTTAGTGTGTATAATCTTTGGTGGACTCTTTCACTAATTTTTCAAGTGTATAATCTTTGTGGTCATTTGAACTATGTTCTAAAGTTTTTTTCTATTGGGTTGCCTTGTACTCACTTTATCCTTATTAACTTATCCATTAAAAAAAGTGACAGATATTGTACTACCTTATATACATTATCATCCCACAGAACATGGTGATGATTTTCTGTCACTTATTAAAGACTCTTATTCCACACACCCACTTACATTACAACTCCTACACTCTTATTCAAATCTTTAACTAGGGTTACTTCATACATTAACCATCTATCAAAATCAAATTGCAAAAGAGGTAACTGAAAATATCACAAACCCCTTTTCCATTTCATCACAAAACTAGCTAAATGTAACAAGTAGAATTGAAGTTTATGATCAGAATTTCACATGAGAACCCTACAAAAACTCTGCCATAATTTGATTCTTTGCCACACTTTCAACTCTACAATTATTCCAACAGTCAAATAGTATTTTTATTTATAAGAAAAATAAAAATGATGTAGAGTAGAGTTTCAGAGAGGAAACAAAACTATTAGCTGAATATATATTCTTTGAAGTAAAAAGCCAAAAATTTCAAAATCCAAGAATATGCAAAATGAATTCTTTTTCTTTTTGGTTCCCTCCTGCCGTACTCTCTATGAGACATGAAAATTTGTATAACTTAAGAATTTTGCGTGCAAACTTTTATGTTCATGTCCCTCTCATTGAAATTTAGTTTAAAAAAAAAAAACCACATTCAACGGTCGCACAGTCGCATAAAGCATTTGCAATTTCATTCGGTACACATGTTATGATCCTGATTGGGATTGTCACAGTATAAATTAACTACAATTTCGTTTTTGTCATAAAAGTAATAAATAACTATTTCAATAACGATATTTTTAATATTTGTTTGTTGCAACTATTTTTGCAGTAACAATATTTTTTTAAACCTTGCCCACATTATCAAAGTCACTTTCATAAAGACCCTTTTAAACATCATCTCTCTTTCCTTTTTCCCATACATGAAAAAAATATATAAAAATGTTAAAATGAATGGTTAATGGAGATTGAAAGGTGAATATCAAGTCACCTTCTCTTTCTCTCTCTTTCTTTCTTCTTTAAATCTCCTACACGAGAAGTTAAATTTTAAGTGTGGGAGTTGTGGAATTGTTGGAAGGTCTATTTTCAATCCATAAATACCTCTCTTCTAGGCCAACCCTTTTCCATATTTTGCAACCATTTTACCATAGTTGAAGCTTCACACCAAACCACTACAAATAGCTACCTAGTGAAAATTCTCAAGGTATAACCAACCAACACTTGTTTCTTTCAAATCTAACCCTAAAATTTCCTTTTTGTTCCTCTCTTTTCATGGTGAGTAATAGTATAGCATGACAAAAAATCTAGATCACACTTCTTCTTTTCTATATTCCTTCTTGATCTTCTTGATTTTTTTTTCTTCCGTATTTCATTATTACAAATATTTGATGTTGAATATATTGAGGAGATTATGGATGAATTAATTATTTTTTTTTTGTGGTGAATTAACTTGATTTTCTTAGCTACCAAACATGGAGCTACCAAATGAAGGTGGAGAAGGATCTTCTCAAAAGAAATTGGGAAGAGGAAAGATTGAAATCAAGAGGATCGAGAACACTACAAATAGACAAGTCACCTTTTGCAAGCGCCGCAACGGATTGCTTAAGAAAGCTTATGAATTATCTGTTCTTTGTGATGCTGAAGTCGCTCTCGTTGTCTTCTCGACTCGCGGCCGCTTGTACGAGTATGCTAACAACAGGTTTGATTTTAGAAAATCTCTAACCTTCAAATCTTCAATATTCTTACTTTCATCTTAATATTTTAAAACAAATCTTAATAATTATTTTTTATTATAAATGAAAAATAATAATTTATACTTTTCATTTCAAAAATAACTTCTACTTCTCCCAAACCACAAGTTTTTCCTCTTCAATTAGTAGTTTTTTTTTTATATTTTATTTTTGAGATTTGATGTGTTTGTTTCTATTTGATTTTGTGTATACTTGATGATACTTAGTCCTTTTATTCTTTGTTGAATATATTATTTTGTTGGAACTTTGAAAAGTTTGTAGATCTGAGGTAAAAGATGGAAGAATATATAGAAAATATAGAAGAACAAGAGTAACAGCTTTAATTAGGGTTAGAAAGATTTCTAGGTCAGAGAAATCTTAGCTTGTTTGTGTATATTTTCCCATGCTATTAACCTTTTTCAAATCCTTCTTCTTTCTCTCTCTCTTTCCCTACACATGTCATCAACCATGAAACTTACAAAAATCTGCCAGATAAAGCTGTCATGCACTCATTGACCCTCTTCACTTCCATCATTACTCTTAGGGTTTCAAAATTTTCACATCTCACATCCTAATCCCTTTCATATTCTAGAATCCAATATCATACACATATAAATTAAATAGAAATTTTATTAAAAATAAAATGTTTATTTTTCATTCTAAATGATTATAATATAAAACAAGTTTATATAAAAATGGATAGTTCGGTTGTTGACTTAATAGATTTTTTTATAAACAAAATGAATTAATAGTGAATAAAGGGGTTCTCAACCTATTTACAAGATAAGAGTCAGGTAGATTAAATCGAAAATCAAAGAAACAGATCTTAAGTAGGAACTTTACAAATAAAACAAAGTTTTAAATTGGAGTTGTCAAAAGTTCGATATCAAAAACTAACATAACTACTAATTACAAATATTTTTTTGATAAAAATGTTAAAATCGAAAATTATATATTAGGGTTTCAAGGTAAAAGATTTCAAATTAAAACAATATTTTATAATAATTTGTGACTAATTTAATGGACCTATATTTTGATTCATAAAAGCAGGGCAGACTCAAGGGCCAAACAGTTAAGGCTAGGGTTTTAGGCCTCAAAAATTTGGGCTTAAAAAAAGTCTCATAATTTTTTAATCTAGTTATAAAAATATATAATGACACATTAGTTATATATATTATCATAATTGAGTTGTTAAAATGTAAACGTTATTCTTTTTAGTCTTGAGTTCAACTCTTAGCAACCAAAATTTAGTTTAAGCCTCTAAACGAGTTCAACCGACCCTGCCTAAAAAGTCTAAATTATGTTCCCTACCCTCATAAATTTTGTACTTGACAATATGGTCAAGAAAGTATGTTACAGTTAGGGTTTCCTAACCCGCATGGGTATTATAAATGTTCATGACCCATTGTTTTCCACAACAAATTTTTGGTAAGAAAAATGCAATTTCTACACCAAAATCATACACCTACACCGTATTTTACTGTTCATCTATACGGTGAACATAAAATATTATAATAATATTTTTTTTAAAATAAAAATAAAAAATTATTATTTTAATTTTTTTTTTATATTTTTAATTTTTAAATTAAATGATATTGACATAAAATTGTGTGATTAATCAACTTCATAACTTTATTAATCAACCTTGTATATTGTATTAACCAACTTTATTGACTGTTAAAAATTATTCTTAATATATGAACGTGTATTAACCAACTTAATAACTTCATTAATCAACTTTTTACATTTCATCAATCAATTTTGATTTATTGCTAAAATTTATTTTTGACATTTAGACGTTTATTAACCAAATTCATCACTTCATTAACCAACTTTTTACATTTTATTAACAAGCTTTATTTCACTATTTTAAAAGTATTGTTCACGCACTGTTCATGTATTATAAATATTATTTTTTATTTATTAAAAAAGTAAAAATATTGTTCACCATATAAATACAATGAACAATGTTTGGTGTAAATATTTGATGTAAGAAAGGGGTGTAGGAATAACATACCTCTTTTTGATAAAGCGGGTTTGAAAATATTAAGCAATTAAGTTGCTACTTTTCATATTTTAATAAATGTGTTGAATTGATTTAGTGAATGTATAAGTTGAATACTTTGGTATTCCTAAAGTTTTATTGATAAGTACATATTATTGATACTTGTACCTTGATGGTCTTTCATCTTTATATAATATATTAATTTGCAATTAAAAAAGTACATATTATTGAATTATGTAATATCATGTTATTTTTAATATATTATTATTTTGAAATAATATGAAATTTTTAATTAATTTTGTTGATATATACCAAAAAAATTATGTTTTAAGATATATTATTATGTTTTTTTCACAATATTATGTTTAAAACAATATTATGGAAATAATAAGAAAAATGTAAAATTAATTTTAAGATATATTATTATGTTTTTTTCACAATATTATGGAATAAATTGAATTAGAACTCTTTATTTGTATTAATTAAAAAGTAATTTATTTTATAAAATAAAAATTTAAAAATACCATTCATTGTTCACGTGAGGTATGATTTCATAGTTTTTCACTACGGACAATAAGACATAATGATATTTATTCCTCTGAGGGTTCCATTTTCATTCATTATTTTTTTTATAAAAAATTTCAACATAATTTTCTATCAAATTTCAAAAAATAAAAATACTAGATATTATTCTTACTTGATCGTTCGATTTTTACCCTCTGAATCCAAAAGTAAGACCATGCTATCAGATTCTAATAATAGCTAAAAGAAAAGCATTCATCTCTTTCTCATCTTTTTTCATCTCTTTCATTTTTATGGAAATAAAGCTTCCAACACTTGACGTGAATTCTCTACCTACTCTCAATTATGTATTTTGGAAATTTTCATTAGAAAAGAAACTTTCATTTACATTATAATCGTCCTTATATGAATAAACTCTTTGGAAAGGTTTTACTTTTACATTCTTTACAATTCACAAGAATGAAACTTGATACATTCATCATAGGTTGAGCTTCAACTAGTTATGTTGTGTGAGAATTTTTTTGTGATAAAAAGTTGGAAGAGAAATTAATAATGAAAAAGAGTACGATCCAATGAGAAATAATGAAGTTGATGAAATTCATTTCTTAGTTTAATTTTCAATTTTTTTATACTGACACAGCATCTATAGTTCTTTGGAAGAAAAACTATAACCATGTATGCAAATCTTTAAAGGGTTTTGTGGTAACCGAGGTGTTATACTAATTAAGCAAAAAGGGTTCTTATGCTATTTTTATTACACTATGTTGAATAGGTAACTATGATATATATATATATATATATATATATATATATATATATATATATATATATATATATATATATATATATATATATATATATATATATATATATATATATATATATATATATATATATATATATATATATATATATATATATATATATATATATATATATATATATATATATATATATATATATATATATATATATATATATATATATATATATATATATATATATATATATATATACACGCTTAACTGCGGAGTTCTAATGGAATCCGATACATTAATGCTGAGAAGTCCTTGTGTTGCACCTCTTTTTACGACTTTTTGATTCTTAAAATGTGTTATTTTTTTACTATTTGTTTTAAGATATTATGCTTTATTTGGTTAAATAAATAGAAAATTTTGTAAAAGTTATAATAATTAAAATGTACTATTTATAAAATATCTTAAGTCATACTTAAATAAATATTTCAATTTGCAAACGAAATTTTGAAAAATTTATTCACACAAAATACATTAATATTAAATAGAAATAACTGAAGCTCTCTAATTATTAATGATATGATAATTGAAAGTCTTTTACAATATTTCCAATCAAAATATCTTATTTATTGTATAATAGATACTCCAACACATCCAATATATAACACTACCTACTTTCTATAAAAGATTGCAGAGTTTTCACCCAATGCTATGTTAAGAAGTCAGACAGATAAATCATATTTCTAAATAAAAAAATTTACAATTAATGTTTAATCCCCATATCTTTGAACTCAAAAACACATAAAACCTTAAATTTAATAATATCAACTTTCAATCTAACATGTCAATCTAACAATATTGATATTTATCACTTGAGTTACTTTTTGTAGATTTTATTTTTCAAATTTCTTTAATAGCAAAAAGAGAAATAGACTAAAAGATAAAATACAAAATATACAAAAATAACAAAGAACATAAGAAATAAGTAAAGCAATAGAAAAATAAAAAACTACCAAAACCAACATCCAAGAGAAACAAAAAGCAACCTCACATTTGTGAAATTTATCTTGAAACCTAATACCAAAACAGAATGCCAGAGAGCAAGCTTCTAGAAGGTAAGTATCAGAGTCGTTTCAATCTTTTGAGAGATTCTGTGTAAAAAGTTGAAGTTAACTTCTGTTAAAACATGAAATTTTGTTAAGAGCCTCTATTTAAGTGTAAAATATTTTTATAGAGGCCTTTTTATCTATAACTTGATCATGAAAAAACGTGAGGTCTTTTGTTGTAGGCCGCCTTGCACACTCTCAAAGACGACTCTGATAAGCATGAACACCTACACAAAACAAACACGGAGTAGAGTTGGCCATCTAATTAACTCCTAACCGCCTAGCCATTAAGCGACTTCATCCTCAATGTTCTTACAAATTTATAAAATTCATTAATTTCAATCAATATAAAAATGTGTGCCTAAAAATCGAGTTTAGATCAAATCTATTGGTGGTAGGATATTAATAAATGTGGTTGGACCTAACTCAACTTTATAAAACTGATTGGTAAGGTGAAAATAATCACCACTTATAAAAATATGTTCATGCTATATATTATCCGATGTAAGACTCTTAATACACTTTTTATTTGTAGTGGTTTTTGGCATGTTGTTATATTTCCTTATTTGTTTAGTTTGAAAAATAAGTATTATTAATATTATTTACTTAAATATTTTGAAAAAAAGTGTTATTAATATTATTCACTTAAATATGTTGAATTATTTGCAGTGTTAGAGCAACTATTGAAAGGTACAAAAAAGCATGTGCTGCTTCTACTAACGCAGAATCGGTATCTGAAGCTAATACCCAGGTAATTAAACTATTTACATAATATATATCTCAATAAATATTTTAAATTTTTTAAGAAACTATGATTATTCATTCTTGTGTAGTTTTTTATATATCATCAAGAAAGTATAATTTGTTTACTTAATAAACTATGATTATTCATTCTTGTGTAGTTTTTTTTATATCATCAAGAAAGTATAATTTGTTTACTTAATTAATAATTATAATCCTCAAGGTTTACCCACGCTGATATTATGTTGCCAATATTAGTTTTACCAGCAAGAGTCATCAAAATTGAGAAGACAGATTCGAGACATTCAGAATCTAAATAGGTCAGTTTATTTATTTTATTTATGAGTAATGTTAATTTGTGTTCCGAAAATAGAAATTAACAAATAAATTAAGAAATAATATCTTGAAAAGTGTGGATTATTTTTAATAATAATATAATATTATTATTTTAATTGTGTTTTCTAATACAAATTATTATAAATATATTTTTTTAATTTCTGTCTTTAAATTAGAAGTTAGTATTATCCTTAATTATATATTTTAATTAAAATAGTTTTTTTCATTATTGAATTATTTATGAATGAGTTTTTTTTTTTTTTGAAGACACATCCTTGGTGAAGCTCTTGGATCTTTGAGTCTGAAGGAACTAAAGAATCTTGAAGGTAGATTGGAGAAAGGTTTAAGCAGAGTTAGATCTAGAAAGGTAAATTAATATATATATATATATATATATATAGTTAACAAAATAAAAATTATTTAAGGCTTGCAATTAATTCTGCTTTTTTTTTTCTTAAAATAATCATCTTAATTTTACCAAAAAATAAAATATAATACATCTTAATTTCTTGAATTTTTTCCAGCATGAGACTTTGTTTGCTGATGTGGAATTCATGCAAAAGCGGGTAATAATACTCTCTGATATATATATATATATATATATATATATATATATATATATATATATATATATATATATATATATATATATATATATATATATATATATATATATATATATATATATATATATATATATATATATATATGCGCGCAACTTCACGACTTTTCTCATGATCATGTCCTCCTTTTTTCACAAAATCTGCTTTTCTATGTCATGTATTGTAAATAATGTGCAGGAAATTGAGCTGCAAAACCATAACAACTATCTAAGAGCTAAGGTTTCTCTCATTTTCTTTAATTACATGCATTGTATTCAATTTTTATAATCGAATAAAACGAATGATGATAAAAAGTTGTTGAACATATTGCAGATAGCTGAACACGAAAGAGCTCAACAGCAGCAACAAAATTTGATGCCGGAAACAATGTGCGAGTCTTTACCTTCACAGACCTATGACAGAAACTTCTTTCCTGTAAATCTTCTTGGATCGGATCAGCAGGAGTATTCGCGCCAAGACCAAACCGCTCTTCAGCTTGTGTAAGCATTCATATTCATCTTCTACTATTTTTCTCATAGCTATATAAATGTTTGTTAATACTTCTTTTTTCTATGTTTGAATGCAGGTGATAATATGGTGGGATAATGCAATGGAAAGTGGTTTATTAATGTACTTGAAAAGTTGCATGTAATGTGTCTATATAGTAAAGAACCATATATACATGCATGCTTTTACTTAATTAATTAACTAGAGTTGTTCAAACTGTGACTAGAAAAGAACCTACAGTTGAAACCACATAATATAATAATAATAATAATAATATTGATTATGTATCTTTTAATAATTAGTTTCTAAAGGTTACTCTTTGTTCTTAGGATTGCTGTCACAAATTTAGTGTGTTTGCCTAAACTATACTTGAAAATTTCAATAAAATCACAATGTACTTGTGATTTTTTTTTTTTTTTTTTAACTTTCTTTGATTCCAAATATGACCTAAATTCAGTATAATTTCTCTTCAACTGATTGCATGTTAATTAGGACTACATTATGATTAGTAAACGTAAAATTGGGTCACACTAGGGCTTTAGTCACACCACATTAGATGCGGTTGTGGGTGATGCAATTGTATTCATTGCAGTTGTTGCGATGTTGTGGCGTAAATTTTGATGGAGAAATTTAAAACACAGTTAAAAAATATTTTATGTTAATATTTTTAAATAAATTGAGTTTTGAGATTTTAAATTTTTTTTTTATAAACATGTTTGACGCGGCATCTAACGTAGAGGGACACGTGCACTATACAAAAAAATTCATTTAACAACGGTTGGGAAAAATATATAATCACGCGGATACATGCGCTGTTATGTAAAGTGTCATTGTATATATGATACTTACAATCACGGTGTAGTAACCATTGTAATAAACTGCAAAGCGCACGCCCTATCACAACAGATTTTTCAAAAGACTGATGTGATAAAAATAATGGTCCTAGGTTCTATTCTCAGTTGCACCGTTTTGATATTTATTTTTTCCTAGACAGCGTGCGAGATATTATAACGGTTATGATATATAACTGTTGTTACATTTTCTGCATAATTAACAAATATTATCCTGCTTTTATAATTACTCATATTTTTTAACTTCTATTATTGTTCACCATATCACAGCAGAAAATACAACTCACATTTGTGATAAAATTATCATAATAATATTAATTGTATCATATTCATAATATCACATAACTGTATCATATTCATAATATCACATAACTGTATCATATTCATAATATACAATTTATCAGAACAAACAACCTATAGTTTATACATTACATAACATCACATAATTGTAACTTGGTGTTTTGGTTTCTTGTCTCTTGGTGTCTTGACTCTAAAGACCTATGATTTCAAATAATAATATTTTTTAGCAAAAATACTTAGAAACTATAACATACAATTAATATATTATGAATAAAGAATAAATTACGTACTTGTTAATTTTCTCATATACCTTTTTCATGATTGATTCGAATAGCATGTACGACATCTCCATCAACTTCATCATATGAGGTAAGAACTTGTGTTGTGTAAGAAGGTGTGGATGGAATATCAAGACTTTCATTAGCAAGAGGAATATGTTTTTCTTGGAGAACGATTGACCATTTTCTCGATATGTCTGATGGGTCATAAAAGATGCTTTGCCAAGGTCGACCAGGGTGAATCCTAAGTCATCAATATGTACATCATTACTATTATTGGGAGTCCACTTGCATTTAAATAAAGCCACTTTGAAAATAAAATAATCAATCTCTCAAATCTCATAAATGACACCATAAAACGCGGTAGTTGCCAATACAAGATTCTTATCTTTCGAACTAGAGAAATACATCAATTTGTCTTCAACCATAACCTGACTATTTTGTATTGTAATACAATCATCTTTTGATTTTGTATAAAAGGTATAATGACTAATGTCGTATGCAACCTAAGTAATAACACAAAATTTTGGCTGGTACGACAACCATTTAAGTATCTCGGATGCACTACGATCATTAGATACACTTTTATTAAACCAATCTATGAATCTCTTATTATGCTCTATCAACATCAACTTGTCACTCATTCGGGGATATTTTTTCCTCAAAAGTCTTTTTGTGAGTATCTATGAAAGGTTAAACTTCATCTATATTATTCAATATATAGAAATGTGTTTGAATAACTATATATCGAGCCATTGACTTAACAATTAGACCTTGAATTCCTTTTTCGTTTGTGCCAGCATGACGAGACTTTGGAATTCCTATAGCATCTGCGTTCCACAATTAGTTTGTACAAAACTCAACAGCTTCTTTTGTGATGTACCTTTCAACAATTGAAGCTTCCAATCGACGATAATTCTTCGTATATCATTTAAAGATCTTCATATATCGCTATATTGGATACATCCACCTTAAGTAAACTAGACCAAAAATTATAATTTCTCTGACTAGATAAACAAGTAAGTGAACCATAATGTCAAAAAATGGTGGAGGAAAATACATCTCCAATTGACACAAGATTATGGAAGCCTCATCTTCTAATTCATCTAATTTTTAGAAATCAAGAACTTTATTACATATGGCATTGAAGAATAAGCACAATCTCGTTATAGTTACTCTCACATTTATTGGTAAGATCCCACGGATAGCCATTGGTAAAAATTGTTGCATCAATACATGACAATCATGAGATTTTAAACGAATTAACTTAAGTGAAGGTGAGAAAAACACTTAGAAGGGGGGGGGGGGGGGGGTTGAATAAGAGTTTTTAAGAACTATGACAATAAAAAACAACTCAAGATTTTTATCCTGGTTCGTTGAACTCAACTACTCCAGTCCACCTTATCAAAGATGATTTGCCTTTCTCTGCAAGGACTTAATCCACTATTGATCAACTGATTACAATAGAAAGTACTAAGAACAACTGTCTTAGTCTTCTCAAGAACTACTGACCACACCTTGGTCTTCTTAAGGAACTTCTTACAATTTAATGTAAACTAACAAGTGTTTGAATGCTTCTAATAAGCTGTATCACAACTGTGATGTTTACACTTAAGATTAAGTACAACGAAAGCTATATGGTTTTATGAAAGATCAAATGAGTAAGATCTTGTGAGATTTTCTCTTTCATGAATCAAGAGTGTATTTCTTTCTGAGTGATCTAGCAATGAGCAAAAGATGAGTAGTGAATTAGCAGCTTCAAAATGTTGAAGTAGTTCTCCTTTTATAGCTTTTTCAAATGCTTTGAGTGATGTGCAGCTGAATATAATATTTTGATTGTATGACTTTTCATCACCAAAGGTATGGGCAGAGATATGCTTTCTGCAGAAAGGTATGGTTGTAGAAGCCTTGGGATTTGCACCACGTCACTTCTTTGGACAAATTAGCCGTTGGTTACTTTGGAAGTAGCACCACGTTTAATCAAGTTTACAACTTCTTCAACAAGCTTCCTTTAAGATGAAGTCTTCACAATCTGTACTTTAGAACTTGTAGTAAGCTTAAAAGGTATGGAATTCTTTAAGATGATCAGAGATTAGGATGAATGATAAGTTCAGAGTCTTGATAGATGATCATATCTTTTAATGTATCAGAGTCTCAGTCTTGATCAGAGTCTTCATCAGAGTATACAACAGTATGTGCTTTGAGCGTGAATATTAATGATAAGAGTCTGGTTATAAAAGCCTCTGAGTTTGTAGTGAGAAGAACTTCAGAGTCTGATAAGATCAGAGCTTTCAGCTTTTGTATACTTCTTTCAGTAACGCTTCAGATCATTCTGTAGCTTCTGCTTCAGATCCTTTTGGCAGCGCTTTAGAATCTTCTGATAGTCTTGCATCTGATGCTTCAGATCTTTGCATAGTTTCTTTGTACTTATTTGCTTCTTTTAAGAGTATTTAATTTTATACCTGAAACAATAATACTTGAACAAATTTTAGAGTGTATATTTGCTCATTACAAAATTGCATAAAAGTTATCATCAAAACATAGAGATATAAGAAACACCAATATGTGTTCTAACAATCTCCCCCTTTTTGATGATGACAAAATATAGGGAATTTTGTTCAATGAAAAGAAATAAAATAAATAACTCCCCCTGAGATTAAGAATCTCCCCCTGAAATGAATACTCTAATAGAAGAGAACACTTCCCTTTTTGTTTGAGTATATTTCAGAGCCTGGTAGGAATCCTTGATGAGAAAAAAACAACTCAGCATCAGCTTGCTCTCCAGAATTCGTTTTCAAGGATCAGAGCCTGATTGAATAATTCTCAGGGTAACTTTAGATCATTTTGTTAGATGAGATAATGAGATCTGAAAGTCTTAAGATTCAATGTTAGATTAAAACAATGTCTGAATTTCATTTTTAGTATTTGCTTATGTTGAACAATCAAATTCTCTTTCTCCTTCTCCCCCTTTTTGTCATAATAAAAAAGAACTTTAAAGACAGAAAAGATAACAGAAGAAGAGAGAAAAATATGACATACGAATGGAAGACAAAATAGCCAGGTTTAATCAGATCAGAAAATCACAAGGCATAAGAAGTTCGTAGAGCAGATGATAAAAAAAACAAACAGAAAACACGTGCAAACACGAGAATGCAAAGACATGAAAAAGAAAACTAGGGCTGGCGAGAAGCAATCAGTGTTAGAAGATCCGTAATCTTAGCAGTGGACTCTTCTTGCTTGGCCATCCAAGTCTTGATTTATTCAGTAGTCTGTTCCTGTTTTATCATCCATGTTCTGATTTCCTTGACTTCTTGGACAACATCTGGAATCTCAGTCTTCATCTCAGATGCAGAAGGTTCAGAAGCAGATGCAGTTGCCATTGGATGATCAATCTCCATGTCAGGTGCAGGAGTATCTTTTATCATTGCAGAATTTTCAGCAGCAGCATCTTTTAGAAGAAGCACTGGAGTTGTGATAATGTTCAACAGAGTTTGTCTGACCATTTTAGCAAACTTAGCCTTTGCATCATCAACACAGAGTGTTCTGAGGTCAGATGCAGCAGAGTTGAATTTTGATATGAATATGTTCCAAGAGGCTTCAGATTTAGCAGGATCCAAACTAGCCATGCACTCTTTCTCTACAGAAGCAATTCCC